GTTGATGCAGAAAGACATGAAGAAGAGGGGACACATGTTGATGTAGAAGAGACATGAAGAAGAGGGGACACATGTTGATGTAGAAGAGACATGAAGAAGAGGGGACACATGTTGATGTAGAAGAGACATGAAGAAGAGGGGACACATGTTGATGTAGAAAAGACATGAAGAAGAGGGGACACATGTTGATGTAGAAGAGACATGGAGAAGAGGGGACACATGTTGATGTAGAAGAGACATGAAGAAGAGGGGACACATGTTGATGTAGAAGAGACATGAAGAAGAGGGGACACATGTTGATGTAGAAGAGACATGAAGAAGAGGGGACACATGTTGATGTAGAAGAGACATGAAGAAGAGGGGACACATGTTGATGTAGAAGAGACATGGAGAAGAGGGGACACATGTTGATGTAGAAGAGACATGAAGAAGAGGGGACACATGTTGATGTAGAAGAGACATGAAGAAGAGGGGACACATGTTGATGTAGAAGAGACATGAAGAAGAGGGGACACATGTTGATGTAGAAGAGACATACATGAAGAAGAGGGGACACATGTTGATGTAGAAGAGACATGAAGAAGAGGGGACACATGTTGATGTAGAAGAGACATGAAGAAGAGGGGACACATGTTGATGTAGAAGAGACATGAAGAAGAGGGGACACATGTTGATGTAGAAGAGACATGAAGAAGAGGGGACACATGTTGATGTAGAAGAGACATGAAGAAGTGGATTTTGTATAATAGGTCCCCTTTAAGTCCTGATCTCACCTGGGACGGAGGTACCGAGGGCCACGAACACCACGGCGGTGACGGAGTCCTTGAGCCCGATGGTGCAGCCGAAGTGCGACGCCAGGTCTCCGATGACGGCGGTGAGCATGCCGATGATGGCGATGGAGGTGATGAAGCACGCCCAGCCGTTCAGGTAGTCGGTGGGAGGAACGCAGGCAAACAGAACCTTCCAGAAGACGGTGAGGAAGTGCATGACGTAGTCGAAGCAGGACGGCAGACGCTCCTCCCCGCTCTCGTCCTCCTCCTCATCTGAGGGGGAGAAAGGGGTGTTATTGAAGCGGGAGGACAGCAGAGAGAGCAGCACCAGCATAACAGAGGATGAGATATAGGAATATTAAGTGGAACAAGACAGAGAGAAAAGGGTGAAGGAGGAGAAGTACATGTCAGCAGAAGAGGCAAACAAGAGGATGAGAGAAAGAAGATGGAAAAGCAATATAGATGAAAAGGAAAGAAAAACAAAGACAGATGATGAAGAACAAAGAGGACGAGGACAAAGAGAAGAGTTTGAAAATGTTGGCGAGATAATACAAATCAATAAAGGAGAAGAGTGATGACAAAGAGGGGAACAAATTCCTCTTCAAATTACACATATACTTATTTATCAGCTGCAAAAGTCACTCAAGCTGTCAGATAAATGTATCGGCGTATAAAGTATAATATTAGCTTTCAAAATGTAGAAGTATAGAGAAGCATATAAGTAAAGTACCTTAAAGTTGTACTTAAGGTTGAGTATATGTACTTCATTGTATTACACTGGTACACTGATTTAAGAGAAGATGGGAATACAATCTATATAAACGTTTACTTAAGTATTTTATAAGTACTTTATTTTACAGTTAACAAAGTATTTAACAATTGGGTTAACAGCAGTTAAAGACCTGAGTAGTTTATCCACTGTGTTTCTCAAACTTTTTCATACCAAGGACCACTTTACCAATAAAAAAACACTCGCGGACCACCTAACTCCACAAATATCAGAAAACACATATTTCTTCTAGAACAGATTACAAATAACCTGAAAATTGTACAAAGAAACAACATGTGTGATGAAGGTGTTGCGCTGGGCTATATCAGGCAATTGAAAGTGAAACTTAAGCTCGCTCCATTGCGGAGATATTCCAGCGAGAGTGCGGAAAACTTAAATGTATTTATTTATTTCAAATGTGAAATGATACCAATATACTCACGCACCACTAGGGGTCGCTCACGGACCACCAGTGGTCTCCCCCACACTCTAAAGGTTTCTCAATACTCAAATTTACCCTCCTCGACTCCTCGACTCCTCGGTCCTCCGGTAGTGACCCGGAAATGAATTTCAGCACGCCATTTTGAAGGACATCTCATATCTCTAAATGCACTTCGAGGACCGATCATCGAGCGTCGAGGAGGCTCTCTGGAGGAGCTCTAACCGAGGATACACTGATGGGTCCTCCACGACTCTTTCGTGGATGCATTTCCGGGAACAGAGATGTTTCAAAGAGTCGTGATGCACGGCCGGACTTATCTCAGCCAATGACAGCTCTGCATGCATCCCCTGGATATTATTTTAGTAACTGCTCTCATCGTGACGCGATGTTTACAGTGAGAACAGCTGTGAGGTCCGTGCAGAAAGCAGAGCAGTGTGTAAAATATATATCACTCAGTATAACAGGCCTACTCTCTTTAGGCCTATTTGCTTTAGTTTAGTAGATATCTACAAACAAAGACTCGATATCTTTCGAAGACCATTTAGTGCTTCACATAATAAAATACACAACGGCTGTAGCCTGATTATGCTTTAAGAGCTGTAGGTGTGTGTTGTACAGTGCGTAGATGCGGCGGACAGACGGGTCTCAGTTGGTTTGTTGTCCTATGCTTACTTTAAATACTTGTAAATACAACTTTTGGCCCGTAATTTCAATTCCCCATTTCAGCGACCAGAGAGAGAGAGGGGCCAGGAAAGCGTTTGATTCTGAAATTGTATATATTTATATAAATATATGTGTGTGTGTGTGTGTGTGTCCGCATCTGTAGCCTGTTATTGTCTCATTATACCGCACTGTGAATGAATTAAAGTAAATATATAAGTGGTCATGAACACATCTGTCCATCAGACAGAGCGCTGCTGTGCCTCCTGTCATCATCGATGGACGTCTCTTTAAAATGCCGCTCAGAGGAGAGGAGTTCTCATTTCTCTAACCGCCTGCTGCTTCCCCTCCTCTCTCCTCGGTTCACCTCCTCAGTCCTCCGCTCGCATCTCCTGTGGGCGGGACTAAGTATCGAGGATAGGAGTCGAGGAAAGGAGTCGAGGAGGGGAAATTTGAGTATTGAGAAACCTCTTTTGAGAAGCACTAACACCTTTGATAGGGTTTACTCCAGTTTGGAATAATGTATCATTTTGGATTTGTCCTCCTCGAAAGTGTCATCTTGTAAGAGCTATAAAATGAATGTGCCCTCAGGTGGATCTCACAGGAAGTTCAGCATGGAGAGGAGGAAGTGACTCAGAGTGTCAGGCCATGTGAGCTGCATGCATCTTTCAGACACACTGGATCATGAAATAATAAAGAGTACCGCTGGATTAAATATTTCAGCAGAGAGAGGAAGCTGTGACTGCAGAGCGGCAGGACGACCAGATGATGGATGGCTTTTTAATCTCACCAACATGAAACTTCTCCAGAGCCACAACAGCTTCCAGGGACGACTCCACTTACATTAGCTTCTGAAAACTGACACTGATATTTTTGGGCTGAAGTTGGGGGTAGCTTCTAAGAATACAACATGAAGTATGCTGAGATTAACCACCCAAACATGAAGCCAATTTATTTCTCTCATACTAGCCTACCACCACGCGGTGAAAGGTTTTGGTCCTTCTTACATTCAAGTCTTGTTCAAGGTCACAGGAAAGGGAACTCCCCAAAAGACAGAATATGGCCCCTTTAAACAATTGATGTCCCTTTATTTAGCATACCACTATTTGTATTATTATTATTCCCTTCAGCACCTGCACTGACGGTGATGGCTTCCATGAACTGGTCCCTCCAGGAGTTGGTTCCCACCACCAGAGCCAGGTTGGTCTTCTTGATCAGCTTGTCCACCGTGCTCTGTGAAACCAGATAGAAACAGTATTAAATCCATCCTGTCCAGAGGCTGCTGTGAGGAGCAGTTCACCAGCGTGGCCACAGGGGGGCAGTAGCATCCAGTTCAGCTGCAGGAACATTTGTGAAGCATGATGAAGAAACACAGCAGACACAAATGTGGAGGAAAGAGGATGACTTTATACAGAGTGGTGGAGAATAACAAAGCACATTCACTTAAGTACAATTTCCAAGTATATCCATAGTAGGCCTCTAAACTTACACTTCACTACATTTGAGAAACTTGCACTTTAGTTACTAGTTACTTTACAAAGTAAGATCATCCATGACTGCACACATCTGTTGATATTTAAATCACAAATCAAAATGTCCCTTTTTAAAGTTGCTTTTAATATTTAAATATCTAAAATGATTGTGTGTTTTGTATTGAAAGTGTGTTGATTTCTTTATTTTAACCTGTATATGTTAAGTGAAACAGGAAAAGCACTCATTATTATTATTATTATTATTATTATAAATATTTTAAATTATTTTAATGATATGTCTTAAATTATTATTATTATTATTTTATTATTTTTACTGTTCATTTTTAATATTTTAAAATGTATTATTATTATTATGTTTAAGACTTATAAAACCTGATTAAAATATTGTAAGAATATATGCAAGAACAGTTTAGTAAATTATTTAATTTTCAATTCAGTATAAAAATAACTTTCATTTACAAAATAAAATAATCTTACAGAAAAAATATTTTGAGTTTATTTATGTTAATATATTTTGAAGTAGAACAAGATAATAAATCCCCAAGAGGGAATACATTTTGCTGATTGAACCTACTTACTTGTATTTGTACACTTTAGTATTGCTTCTTTAACTTAAGTAAAACTCTGAGTACTCCTTCCACCTCTGTTTAAACCAGGGGTGTCAAACTCAAGGCCCGGGGGCCAAATTCGGCCCGCAACTTCATTTCATGTGGCCCCACAAGAGCTTGCAAAGAATATAATATGTTTATTATACGGTTACATGCCGCTTTACAGAAGCACATTGCACATAAACTACATGTCCCACAATGCATCTCAAATTAGACTTTTTTCTCAGAATTGGACTTTTTTTTTTTTAAATGTAACTTTTTCTTTTTTTTCTTTTTCAGAATTTTGATTTTCTTTCCTGTATCTGTTATTTCCAGCAGCTTAATTTAAGTTTTCCGGTGTTTGCGGCAGCAGGAATATCCCGCTCTGTTTGCAGAGGAACCTCTCTCACCTTAAACTCGTACGACTCCTCGATAATCACTTCCAGCTTGGAGTTCTCCCCCAGCACCGGCTTCCCCATCTCCGCGATGCGCCGAGCCTCCTCCTCGTCTGTCGTTATCTTCCTGTCTGACAAATCTGGAGAGGATGGCAGAAGAAGAAGGAAATCACAGTGAGGAAGACGGAAATCACAAAGGGACGACGCTCAGCTGATCAGCACTTTGTTATTCACAGAACAAAACATCAGACAGTTTCCATCTATTCAGACTTCAGAATGTCCACGCTCATCCAAGAGGCACAGTTTGTTTTACATGCAGTATTATACATATCAATGCAAAGTGAAAAACTGTTTTTTCGTGGAGGTTAGACTTTGTTATGTAAATGTTAGACAGACCTTCAAGTACAAAACACTGCAACGGCAAATAATAAGTGCAGATTTATGGATTTCTTTTGTAACATTTCCATTATAATTCTAATTCAACAATGACTTTCAAGGTCCTTTGTGATGTTCACGCCTTACCAAGTTTGTTTAAATGCAGTATTATACACATACAGTATGCAGTCACATCTGTCACACTGTCAATGCAAAGTGAGAAAATAGTTGGTTTATTGTAAAATACCCACTAAATATCCTCTTTTCAAATAGTTTTTCTCTGCTTTTGGTGGGAGTTAAACTTTGTTGTGTGAAGGTTAGAAAAACCTGCATGCACAAAACACTGCAACAGCAAATAATAAGTGCAGGTTTATTTATTTATTTTGTACCACTTCCCATTATTCTTCTAATTTAGAGTCAACAATGACTTTCAAGGTCCTGCAAAACATCAGAAGGTTTTCTCGCTGTTACGAGAATTCATTTTGCCTTTATAATATTTGTGAAGCCTTTACATGCAGTATTATACATATGTAGTCAAATCTGTCACACTTAATCAATGCAAAGTAAAATAATAGAAGACTTGTTTTAATAATATCTATAAATATCCTCTTTTTAAAAAGGCTCTGTTTGTCTTGGTGGCTAAACTAATGTTAGACATGTGGGGGAAACTTCTGAAGCAATTGGAAACAGGACTCAGAGAGGCACGAGGAGCATAGGCTACTTGCCAACCTTTAGACCTCAGAAATCGGGAGCATTTCAAAATGCAAAATTGGGGGCCGGGGGTGCTAGTGGATCGCCGGAGCTGTTAGATTAACATTAACATACTTATTGTAGTTGTAAGTGCACTGCCTTGCGGCCTGTAGCACCATCCTTGATGGAGCATATGTGTGGGCTGGACCTGTATTTTACAGGAAAGGAGTGAGCAGAGAGTAGAGTAGTTGTCGATTCTTGTTCTGTTTTCTGTGAATATCTGCCTCACCCTCTCAGACTTTGAGTTGCGCGCGCTACTAAAGAGACGTGTTACCATGGAAACCAAACAATGGTGTAGCTGTATTAAAGTCCGAGTGGAAACAGTCGTGTGTAAATCTGATTTTGTCAGAAATCGGGAGAAATGCGGGAGAAATATGACCCCGGGAGGAAACCGGGAGAGGGCAATGAAATCGGGAGTCTCCCGCGAAAATCGGGAGGGTTGACAAGTATGACGAGGAGAGCTTTGATGGCAAACACTGACGGTTTATTTGGGCCGGAGAATTGACAAGACAGGTGGTGTGTCACGAGTTGCCAAACCAATTCTGAAGAACTCTTTCTGCAGCTCGAGGTTTGAACTAGTTCAGA